AAAAAAATCATCGGTGGGAAATCACGAGAGGAATCGATTGCAGCACTTTATTTTTGAATCGTACGGTTGGATTGTCCCCAAGAAACTAAGCAAAATACCCTCCAATATCCGGTTTTTTGCCCATAACTCCGTTATTTTTGGTCAAATTGGAAATCGGAAAAAAATCATCGGTGGCAAATCACGAGAGCTGTCCAAATCCGGTCTCAGATTTTGTGTCTGCAAAAAACACCGTCCTCCAGAAAGTAAGCAAGATTTCTTGAATATCTCAACATATCGAGCGAAGGACGAAAAAAACAAATCTCCGTACGAAGATGCGCCTTGAAACGTCGATTTACGCGGTATTTTCAGATTTTGGAATAAGTACCCCCACCTCGAGAAAAGTGCACCTTTGTGCAGGGGAAAATATTGTGAATATTTGCCCGAACGGACCATATCAACTACCAAACCTGGGAACGCCCCCCCCCCCTCCTTCTCCATCTGTGTATGTTCTTCTCTCGCCACCGCCGCGTCATGTAGTATCTTTTTATCTGTAGCACCAGTCGTACACCTCACTGGAGGTTCTTGTTCTTAACAGCAGGTCCGATCTGAGCACGTGTTCTTACGGGCAAATTCTTAAAAATTGGATTTTTTGAGGCTCAAATTCTTAGCGTCCATAGTTTTAAGTGCGGGCCGGTTCTGTACGTCTACACAACGCATAGAATGTCGGGGATCAAGGCCAGGCACATCGATATATTATCGCGGGTTTTCAGCTGGTATACCTATTACTGGGAATAGTCCGATGCGGTGATTCATCACTGGGAACAACGTTCCTTGCTCGGCGCAACCCACAGGAAAACGCACGTCCCTGGTGTAAGGGCTCAACATGACCACCTCTATGAATAGCTCGTGGGTTCAAGATATGCTACCGGTGCGCGCTTGTTGCGCCTCAATCAACCGCAGTAAACCGGTTCTCTCCCAACGGTATCTTCTAGGAAGGGATCAACTTGTACAAAAGGGCGTCGTTCAGACGTTTGGACTGGAGGTCATGTGCGGACTACATCATACTTCTACATATCGCGACTCTGGCCGTCTTGTGAGTACCTGCAATATCTGGGATGCGAGTAAGAAAATTTTGTTTGCAACCTCGGACCGGCATCTGCTCGCGCAAGAAGTGACCAGCTAAAACACAAGTCAGCACCCGAGCACCTGTCTGTTTCGCGTGTGTGTCCCCGCCTCACTCGAGAAGCCGCACACAACGTATCCATGATTATACCAAACAAAACTCGACGTAACCAAAGTAACGTTTCAAGCCGAGGGAGAAATGACCTGCGCGGAGCTAGAACACGCGTAGCCACATGAGCATCACGCGGGCATCGAGACCGCCTACCGCCCTTTCTCTTTATACCGCCAGCCTTGTATCGAAAAGAACAATTTTTCAATCAACGCTCAAATGTCTTTAAAAAAATCTGCTGTGAGAATTACTGCTGTGTATCTCGAACGTATGCATGAAGTATGTGTCAATATGGGAACGTTGTGCCTTCCAACTAGTCAATGCATGTTGCTTTCCACTAGAGGGTAAGGATTGGCCCTCCGCCCCCCCTCCACCCCCACTGGGGCGGGCGGCCACAATATGACGGATGAATGCGATGGAGGCGAAGACGAAGTAGGTTGAGGTTGAGGTGGAGATTGGACGGGTGCTTCGAGCTCTTTTCATACTACCTAGGAGGGTCATTTGTATGTAATCCAACAAGGACGATGAGGGGGGGGGTGTACTCACAGTCGTGCATGCCGTAGTCGTTAGACCATTGACCTCGCATCCCTACAAAGCCGGGACGGAGCACGCCAGGTTCTCACCGGAGGACCAGGCTCTCACATGACTATGCGAGAAGCGCCGTTGGGTATTCGGCGAGTCACATGGAGGGTGCGCTGCATCCTGCAAAGCGTGTGGGCATCTTGTGCTTACTTCGTTGTATGTATGCGGATGACAGCTGCCAGTGACTTAATATTTTCTGGAGCTTTTACTTCCACAGACAGTTATCAGCGCTGCAGTAGGCTCGTTCGTGCGTTGTTACCATGGGTTCGTTTACACCACACAGCAGCGGTGTGAGGTGGGGGGCGCCAGTGTGATTTACAGAGAAGGGGGGGGGTTGTCATCATCAGCTACCGTAGCAGCGCAATATAAACTCTCTATTCCTCTCTCTTTCTGGTTCGAGCTTCGATCTTTTCAATCAACTCCAAATCCTGTGATTTGTGACCAGACTAGCACACGGAAGGCACAGGTGGCACCCTAGCTAGGCCCGCGCATTCAAATGTAGAGAGGTTTTCAGCAGTACATGCATCATCAATGATGGTGTCTAACAGCGTGTTGGTACAGTATGCTTCTTGTCCTCCCTCTCGCTGAAGACCAAAAACAAACGCTGCCGCTCGTAAAACGCAAAACAACACAACAACAAGCAACGATTCTTCTTCTCTCCTCTCGCTTTCTCCGCCGATAGCTAACCGCAGCAAGTATCGGGCACACCCTCCCGCCTTGCTCTCCCGGTGGTGCGTGTGTGTCTCCCGCACCCCTTGTCCATGTTCCCTGTCTATGTGTAGCGTGTGTCTTGCCACGAGCACACCGACGGAACAAAAAAAAAAAACACGATTGCCTGGGGTTTGGACGGGGACGCGTCCTAGATTTATACCAGCACAGACGCTGTGCAATCTCGACGCACCGACCACGGATTGAAAAGGTAGCAGTTGGGACAGCTCAGGCAAAATGCTACTTGTTGTGAACAAGTTTTAGATTGTAATTTGGTGCCTAGATGGTGAAATGGGCTCCAACCTCCTGTCTGTGTAGACTATTTATCGCCGCACATACCGGCACAGGACACAGTTCAGTGCAAAAGCCCCCCCCCGTGCGGCTTTTGTTGTACTTTCACGTACGTGCGTAAATGAACATCACGATCCCTCCATACAGCTTTTTTTCCTGCCAAAGCAGAAAAAGCCCCCCTATCGGCGAGCTCAAAGAAAGCTATTATATATAAACTTCACTCGAGTGTGTGTATGTTTGGGGTGCTCGGCAGAGTATTCTGTCTACGGGGCCTCTGGGGGATACGCGGATTGTATGTATTGATGGACATGCTACATGGTGATGGTGTTGCCTACCGTAATAATTAAGTTTG